TTTTCATTTAGTCACGTGTTTTCCCAGTTAGTATTCTTCTAAGAACTTTTTTTTGTTTGTTTACTGTTGGTTGGTTTGGGATGGAGTTTTTTTGGGGGGAGGGTTGTAGGGGGGGGTTGGTTTTTTGGGTCACATCAAAGATGCTCAAGGGTTATTCCTGGGTATGCACTCAGGAATTATTCCTGGTGGTGCTCAAGGGACCATATGGGATACAGAAGATCCAACTCAGGTCAACATGCAAGGCAAACACCCTGCCCCCTGGATTGTTGCTCTGGCCCTATTTCTAAAAGTTTTATGAATATACTCATTTGATCTTTGTATAACAATACTATGAATTATAACTGATTTGAAACAGACTTTTTTATTTCTGGGGTGGGAGCAAGAATACCCAGTAATGTTCAGGTGTTACTCCTGGCTCTGCACTCAGGAGTTACTTACTCCTGGCAGTGTTCCAGAACCATAGAGGATGCTGGGCGTTGAACTCTGGTAGGCCTATGTGCAAGGCAAATGTCCTACCTGCTGTACCATCAGTCCAATTCCCATTTTTGTTTGTTTGGTTTTGGTTTTGTTTTCAGGCCAGACTCAGTGGTGCTCAGGGCTTTCTCTTAGCTCTGCGTTCAGGGATCCCTCCTGGTGGGCTCAGGGGACCATAAGGGATCCTAGGGATGGAGCCCAGATCAACTGCACGCAGGCAAGCGCCCGCCATACCCGCTATATTATCATTCGGGCCCCCAGCCCCCAACAGATGTGGTTCTGTTCCAAGGAAGATGACATGGAACCACAGCCAACAGGCTTCTGGTTGCATTGTTTATCTCTCTGTGCAACTGAAAAATGTGCCATGGATATTCTTTTAGGCAGAGCTGTGGTTTATTGATTTTCAACAAGATGTTTTCTTTTGTTTCCTCTCTGTTCTACTAGGACTACTCAACATCTATCCTTTACCCAACCATCTATTCATTTCCTAAAACATGCCGCCTGAGGCATAGTACTTCTTGAACTCTAAGTGGATAGCTTTCTGCTTTAATTAATGTTTATTTATGGAACTCCCCTAGGAGAGGATCAACACAATACACCCCTACTTCCTTCAAGGATCTGTGATCTAGCTTGAGTGTCGGGAGTTGGTTTAAGAATAGCAGAATAATTAAGGCATGGAGTGGAATTCCAGCCCAGCTGGGTCATGCCAAAACATAAGGTAGTAATGCTTGGTTGGATTAATGCAATGACTCTCAAACATTTTTTTTCTTTTTGGTTCACACCCGGCAATGCACAGGGGTCACTCCTGGCTCTGTGCTCAGGAATTACCCCTGGCGGTGCTCAGAGGACCATATGGGATGCTGGGAATCGAACCTAGGTCGGCCGCGTGCAAGGCAAATGCCATACCCGCTGTGCTATCACTCCAGCCCCCAGACTCTCAAACTTTTACAGTAAAAAAATTTTGAGGGCTGAAGAGATAATATAGCCAGTATGCGGATGACTTGTACTTGACCCTGGCAATACTTTCTGTCCTTTTGAACTCCAGCAGGAGTGATCTCGAACAGAGATTCAGGAGTAAACCCCAAGTAACATGGGATGTGCCCCAGCCCCCACAAAAAAAAACTTAACCATAATTTTCTGAGTATCCTCCAAAGCTTCTGTTTTTATAGATTATCTCTATGATCACAATCATGATCATTCTGTTATTCGTCGATTGCCTCGAGCAGGCCCCAGTAACGTCTCCTTCGTCCTAGCCCTGAGATTCTAAAAAGTGCCACATTCAAGGCTCTTTCAGGGTTAGGAGAATGAGACCCATCATTGTTACTGGTATTTGGCATATTGGGTACGCCATGGGGAGTTTGCCAGACTCTGCCGTGTGGGCAGGTTACATTCGGTAGCCTGCCAGGTTGTCCAAAGAAAGAATGAGATAATAAGATGTCACCTGGCCATGAATGTGGCTGCGCCTTCCGGTAGCTGGGTTTTATAGTCTCTGGGTCTTGGCTGTTGATGGAATTACACGGTGCCAGGGGGCCAGTTGGTGGGTGTGAGCCCTGCCTACTGGAATTTGGAGGATCTGATTGGAGGATGCTCAACTCCGATCGAGCAGGCTTGGAGATCTCAGCCCCAGGACCCGCATGCCTTTGTTCTTCTGCCGGTACCTTCATGCATGTGGAGAGTGGTCTCAGCATGGTGGTGGCTGGTCCTGAAGGTCTTCGGCTGCTGGAGCCCTGGCCAGGGCGGGGAGGAAAGCTCAACTCGCTCCCCTCCCAGGGGCCCCGGCGAGGACAGCCAGGCACTGGGGCAGGAGACTCTGCGCTATTCTCTTCTTCTCTATGATATCCTATATAATATATCCTGTATTAGAAGTTAAAACAGGGTCAGATAGTTCAGGGTTAAAGCACTTGCTTTGCATGTGGCCAACCCCATTTTGAGTCTCAGCAGTGCCAGGAGTGACCCTGAGCCCAGAGCTAAGAGTGACCCTTGAGCATCACCAAGTGTGGCCCTACCACCCCTCAAAAGAAATTAAAACAAAGTTTTATGCTGGACATGTGGCTCAGCAATCGAGTAGTTGCCTTGCATTTGCAAGGCTCTGGATTCAATTCCTGGCACTGCAAATAGAAAATTCAAAACACAAGACTATACAAGCAGTCTGTTCTCTCTGAGAGAGATATTGTCATACATACTGCAACTTTCAGAAACTTCATACATTTATGAGAGTACAAGAAGTTTAACTTTTATTTTAAATATTTAAAAAAATATTTGTAGGGGCTGGAGTGATAGCACAGTGGGTAGGGCGTTTTCCTTGCATGCAGCCAACATGGCCGACACAGGTTTGATTCCCAGCATCCCATATGGTCCCCCGAGCACCGCCAGGAGTGATTCCTGAGTGCATGAGCCAGGAGTGACCCCTGAGCATCGCCAGGTGTGACCCAAAAAGCAAATATATATATATTTATAAAGAGGGGCTGAAGAGATGTACAGTGGGTAGGGCATTGCCTTGCGCAAGGCCAACCTGGGTTTTATTTCTGGCATCCCTAAGCATCACCAGGAGTAGTTTCTGTGTGCAGACCCAGGAGTAGTCCCTGAGTATCACAGGGTGTGGTCCTAAACAAACAAACAAAACTGTTTTTCTTAATCTTCAAACTAAATAGAAGTTTGAAGACTCTGTAGACTGCCTGAGACAGTCTAGGGGACTTTCAGGGGTCCACCACTTGCTGAGAACAGTGCACCTGATGTACAGCACCTGGCTCTCAGCATCAGACTTAGTCTAACGAGTGCCTGGAAGTCTGAGAGCAAAGAAGTAAGTTCTTGATCCGCTCAGGTTCACTCTCAGGGGCTTGTGAATTAGACCCACTTGTGCCCCACTGAAAGAACAAAAGGCACGTGAATTTCATTTGATGTTAATGTTTTAGTGTTTGTATGCACAGAGCCTCGCCAGCAAAGAAATAAAGATGCAAAGAAATGGGTCTAGCAATGCAAAGAACAAGACTCTAGCAATGGTACAGCAGGTGGGGCACTTGCCTTGCATGTGGCTGACCTGGGTTCAATCCCTGGCATCTCATATATTCCTTCGAGCACCACTAGGAGTAATTCCTGACTGCAGAGACAGGAGTAACCTCCTGAGCATGGCCAGATGTGACACAAAAACACTAAAATAGGGGCTGGAGCGATAGCACAGCGGGTAGGGCATTTGCCTTGCAAGCGGCCGACCCAGGTTCGATTCCCAGCATCCCATATGGTCCCCCAGGCAACACCACTGATCCCAGTATCCCTCCCACCCCCCATACCCCCATTCCACCCTACCACTGTGGCAGGGCATTCCCTTTTGTTATCTCTCTCCTTTTGAGTACTGTGGTTTGCAAAAGAGACATTGAGTGGCAATCTTGTTCAGTCTATAGTCTACTCTCATCACACATTTCCCATCCTGAGAGGAACCTCCCAACACCCTTTATTTGGTGCTCCCTTCTCTATCTGAGCTGAGGCCAGGAACCTCTTATGGGAAGTTTCTCCCATAAGAGGCCAAGAGACCGTAACTCTGGCCCCCGGCTCCAGCTCTGTGGACAGCGCTAGGATTAGTAACCCTTTATTTAATGATTAATTTATTGCGTTTTAGGCCTGATGAGCCCAGTAACGTCTCCATTGGAGACTTTGTTTTTACTGTGTTTGGCATATCGAATACATCACGGGTAAGCTTGCCAGGCTCTGCCGTGTGGGCGAGATACTCTCGGTAGCATGTCATTCCTCGAGCACTGTCAGGGGTCACTACTGAGCACAGAGCCAGAAATAGTTCCTGAGCATACCAGAAGCTATACACCAAACCTACAAATAATGCCAAGGAAACCTTTTCTTCCTCTGAGGTCTCCTTTAAGTATCTCTCTAGCTAGTGTTTACTTCTTCGCCACTAAATTATAAACTCCTTGAGAGTGTTATCTTGTCTCTTGGGCAATATTTACCCCTCCTAAGGACTAGCCCGGAGGCGGGGCACCTGGAGGGGCCCAGGGACCCATGGCTTGGTGCAAGGAATCAAACCCAGAGTTTCTGTCTGCGTTTGATGTGTTCAGTGAACATTAATTTATGTCATGGGACAAAACTGAACTGAGCCACTTTCTAGAATTTCTTCTCATTCACCCTCTCCCTACAGTCTACAGAAGTTCCCAGAGTGCTGCAATGAACAAACAAGTGCAGATGTCTCTTCAACTATACTTTTTTGCCTCTCTGGGATATATTTCCATGAGTGGTATAAAGCAGACATTCCTTATGGGCCTTCTCCCCAGATGCAAATTCATCACTGCATCTTCATTCAACCTGCAGAGATGTTTGTGTACCTGCCCTGTGGAGCCCCAGTAATGGGCAAACCAGTAGCTTTCCCAGCCTGTGGCCTGAGAGCCACTAAGGCTCCAGGCCTGACCATCAAAGGAACTGAACAAGGAAACTGCAAAACTCAAGCTGTTTGGGCATGATTGGCCACTGGGCATGGAGTGTTGCCCTGCCGCCCTCTGATGCCTGTAGGACCCTTGCTTCCTCAGGTCTACGAATTAAACGGGACATACCATGATCGAGAGTGGTCAGTGAGGACCTACGAGGAAGTGGCTCAAATGTTTGTGAAAGAACATCCTGGGTTTATTGGAATCAAAATCATTTATTCGGATCACAGGTGAGTGAGAGCATGGCTGGAATCATAAGGTGGTCGAACAGGCTGATGGGTTGGGTAGAGGTGGGAGGGAGGAGAGGGGCCTGGAGTGCTGAGACCCCACCAGCACATGGGTTCTGCGTGTGCCTGTGAAAAGCTCTCTGAAACCATGTGGAGTTTGGGTCTTTTTGTTGCTGTTTCGGGGTTACACCTGATGATGCTTAGGGATTATTCCTGATGGGATGCGGGAGAAACATGTAGTACAGGGGATTGGACTCGCCCAACCAGGTGCAAGGCCTTACCCACTGTTCTATATCTTCCAGCCCCTAGCTTGGGTCTTTACAGCCCAACTGAAATAAAGTTTGTGGCAATTTTCCAGATAATTTTAAGCCTTGAAATCATGCTGGCCTGGATAACTCAGTTTTTTTTTTCTTTTTGGATCACACCTGGCGATGTACAGGGGTTACTCCTGGCTCTGCACTCAAGAGTTACTCCTGGCGGTGCTCAGGGGACCATGTGGGATGCTGGGAATCGAACCCGGGTCCGCTGCGTGCAAGGCAAACGCCCTGCCCGCTGTGCTATCTCTCCAGCCGCATGGATAACTCAGTTTTGATAGAATGATTTTGCCTGAAGAATCATGTAATTGTCTCAGTTTTGTTTCTGTTTGCCTCTGGGATTCTGCCTCATGTCCATCAGGGCTGGGGTCTTGATGGGCAGGCCTGGGACAGCATGTGTGACCAGAATGTGAGAATCCCAGTCTTTCCCCAAGCAAGCTCAGAAAGTGTTCAGGTTTCCTTCTGACTTTACCAGAGTGTCCCCCCCTCAACTTCAGCCCCCCTGTGTGGAACAGCACCACAGCCAGATGGGGTGACACCAGTCAGGGCATGGGGAGCAGCAGCCCCTCAATTTCCTTGCCCCTCCCCACCATGGGGCTGGGCTCAGGGCAACCAGACTTCTAGGATCCTCTCCTTGGTCCTGCTTCCTGAGTCCCTTCCCTGCTTCTGAGGGGCCAGGGAGTGACAAGGGCAGCCGACTGACACATTTGCAATGCTCTCCCCTCTGTGGTTCCCTGGTGCAGAGGGAGGCCAGTGGCTCCGGTGTGAGGACTGAGCCGGCAGGAGAGGGTGTGGGCTTTCTAGAGTTTCCTCTCATCCTCTCATCCCGTGGGGAGGGAGAATGAACTGACAGGGTCTGACAGGGTCTGACAGGGGAGCCAGCATGGGCAAACCTCCCTTCCAGAGTGTTCAGGCCTTTTCTTCTGGTGCTTCCCTGGCCTTGCTGCTTGCTTCATCCCTGCCTGGTCAGGAGGAGAGGGAGGGCAGTGACAGGCTTGTGAGATGCTTCTGGAATGCCCGGGACTTTGCAAACCTTATGAGGAAAGATGATGTCCCGGGACTTAGTCCTGCCACCATGGACACTCAGCTAACCTGTGGTACCTCATGGGACTGTGAACGGGGAGTGCTCTCTGTGCTACGACCCAGCTCACCTCTCAGGGGTGGGAAGCAAGTCTGGGACAAGGCCACCAACATCCCACAAAGGCAGTCAGAGAGCTTCTGTTGGGTAATGGGTCAGAGGACTGTTCATGTGCAGGAGGCCCTGGGCTTAAACCCCAGACCACGCCATCTCCTAGTATCACCAAAAATGACCCCTGTGCCGCTAAACCCACCACAAGTCAATACAGACAAATAAACTTTATCCCCTGAGTCCCCTGACCTCCCTGCTTTTCAGAGGCTAGCAGGCCCCCTGAGTCTGTTAGGGTCCTTGGTCCCGTTTGGGCAGAAAGTCTATTCTTTAAAGGAATAGCAACAGGGGCTGGAGAGATAGCACAGTGGGTAGGGCGTTTGCCTTGCACACGGCCGACCCGGGTTCAATTCCCAGCATCCCATAAGGTCCCCTGAGCATCGCCAGGAGTAATTCCTGAATGCAGAGCTAGGAGTAACCCCTGTGCATCCCCAGGTATGACCCCCCCAAAAAATATAAAGGAATAGCAACAGTGGGCAAGGAAATACCTCAAAGTGTTGGAGTACGAGTTTTGAATAGGTGGGAAACCGATTCAACCCCTGGCACTGCATGGGACCCTGAGCACATTGGCAGGCGTGAGCACCCACCCCCCGCCCCCAAACAAGAGAAAACATAGCCCAGTGGGGAGAGTATCAGTGGGCCTTGGCCAAGAGCCGGGAAGCCAAGAATGCAGCGCTGTGGCCAGGGTGTGCTCCAGCCGCCACCCCTACCCCACCCCTACCCCTACCTTCCCGCGGCCCCCACCCCGCCCTCACCCCTGGCCTGCCCCTACGCCTGTCTGTCCTGCAGGTTCAAGAACGCTTCGCTCGTGCTGGAATCCGTGCAGGCCGCCGTGGCGCTCCGGGCCAAGTTCCCCAGGACGGTGGCAGGGTTCGACATGGTAACGTGGAGCTCAGCAATGCTGTGGGGCCAGCGGGGGCCACGGGCGGGGAGGACAACGCCAGGGAAGGAAGAGCAGAAAGCACCGGGCGGGAGGAGCGGGTGCCCCGGATCCCCCCGGCCCCACCCACCCCACGGTCCTGGAGTTGGGGGCGACCAGAGGAAAGAAAGGTGCCCGGAGTGGTTTGCTTCCCAACTTCCTCCTGGCCCTCAGGAGACGATTCCCGCCAGATTCCCGCCAGGAGATGACAAGATGACTTGCTGGCCTGTCAGAGACGCTCAGTTAATTTGGAACAACTGGCTGCAAGGTCCCCCTGACTCCTCCTGGAGAGTCTGGGTTTTGCTCAAGACTGTTTCATCTGGGCGCTGAGGAGGTTAAGGCCGCCAAGCTCACCAACACTATTTTTTTTTTTTTTTTGCTTTTGGGTCACATGCCTTGATGCACAAGGGTTACTCCTGGGTTATGCACTCAGGAATCACTCCTGGCGGTGCTCGGGGGACCATATGGATGCTGGGAATTGAACCCGGGTGGGCCATGTGCAAGGCAAATGCCCTACCCGCTATGCTATCGCTCCAGACCCCACCAGCACTTTTTATTCCTGCTGGAGTGGCAGAACCTCCCTCCCTTTCCCCACCGGGCAGGGCTCAGGGCTTACTCCTGACTCTGCACTCAGAGATCATTCCTGGTGGTGCTCTGGGGATCATATGGGATGCTGGGGATCGAACCCAGGTCTGGTGCAGCATCCTACCTGCTGTGCTCTATTCCTCCACCCCGACTCTCTTTCGACCCAAAAGGAATTTTAGTTGTTTTGGGCCCAGGATATTCTCCTGGGATCCGGAGGGGTTGTTCAAAGAATCTAGCCTTTTCAGAAAGTGAGAGAAACCTCCCACCCTAGCTCTCAATCTCCCCATCTTTTCTTTTGTGTTCTGGGGTCACTGATAAGGGGGTCTGAGAAGGAGGATGCCTAGTAAACAGCTCCTGGGTCTGTCTGCTGAGCTCCCCACGGGCCCCTCTTTGGGGAAACAGCCGAAGGTGCTCGGGAGCTCAGCTTCTCAGTCTCTGCTCTCTTCTACTACACTGAAGATTTGTGTTATGTGCCAGTGACCCCTCCCATATAAAATTGGCATTCTGAGGCCCCCTTTTACCTGGCACATAACTACAAAGACTCAAAAGCATAAATCTCAGCTTGAAATTCTGTTTTGGGTGTGGCTGTCCATCCTCAGTTACAACTGAGGAACTGTGGTGGGCGGAGACCAGGGCCCACAGGTGGTGTCAGGGCATAAGCTCATACTCTTTATCTCTTTAGGCTCAGTCTTTTTTTTTTTTGCCACACCCAATAGTGCTCAGAGGCTATTCTTGGCACTGTGCTTGGGAGAACACCCCTGAGGTACTGAGGGAAACACCTCAGGGGACCCTGTGGAGCTGGGGATTGAACCCATATCTCCAGCATGCAAGACATTTGTCTCTCATGCCTCCACTCTTCTTTTTCTTTTCTTTTCTTTTTTTTTTTTCTTTTTGGGTCACACCTGGCGATGCACAGGGGTTACTCCTGCCTTTGCACTCAGGAGTCACTCCTGGCGGTGCTCAGGGAACCATATGGGATGCTGGGAATCGAACCCCGGTCAACCGCGTGCAAGGCAAACGCCCTACCCCCTGTGCTATCTCTCCAGCCCCCACTCTTCTTTTTCAATGATGCTAAATATTGAACTTAGGGTCTCACACATGCAAAGCATGAATTCTGCCACTGAAAGGGGTCGTCAGCCTCCTTGTCAGCCTCATGTCTATTCTTGCCTTCTCTCAATTTCTGTCTCCCTCAAATTATTTGGGGAGGGCAGAGGGCCACACACAGCAGTGCTCAGGGCTTACTTCTGACTCAGCACTCAGGAATTACTCCTGGTGGTGCTCAGGGAACCATATGGGATGCTGAGGATCAAACCGGGGTTGACTGCATGCAAGGCCAGTGCCCTACCCGCTGTGCTGTCACTCTGCCCAGCTCTCTTTTTGCTTGCATTCTTTCCTTGTAAAAAGCCTTGGGAGAGGAGAAACTTTGTTGGGAACAAAAAGGCCCTGATTAGACAAAAAAAAAAAGACCACCAGAATCAAAATATTTTCCCTGGATAATGTCATAGCAACTAACTCTTTCTACTTATAAAATCCTAAGCAAGTCGGGGTTGCTTGGGAAACATCATAAAACCAATTTCACAAGAGCAAGAGACTTACTCTCCAACGCTAGGGTTGACCACATCCCACCTTGGGGTGTGTGGTTCCTTTCTTTAACTGTTTGGGGCTCTCCTCTCTCTGGAGAAACCTGTGTATGTTCCTGAGCATGTTTCCTTTTGTTTGTTGGGGCACACCCAGCTAGGAGCTCAGGAGTTGTTCCTGAGCTGGGAATTGAACCTGGGATCCCTGCAGGCAAAGCATACACACTAGCCCTTTGAGCTCTTTTCTGGGCCCAAATTGTTATTTTTCCTCTTTCCATCTTAATACAAATTTTTGAAGAAAAAGAAAGAAAAGAAGGAGGGAAGGAGGGAAGGGAGGAAGGAAGAAAGGAAGGAAGGAAGGAAGGAAGGAAGGAAGGAAGGAAGGAAGGAAAAGCGAAGGAAGGAAGGAAAAGGAGGGAAGGAAGGAAGGAAGGAAGGAAGGGAGGGAGGGAGGGAGGGAGGGAGGGAGGAAGGAAAAGCAAAGGAAGGAAGGAAGGAAGGAAAAGCGAAGGAAGGAAGGAAGGAAAAGGAAGGAAGGAAGGAAGGAAGGGAGGGAGGGAGGGAGGAAAAGCAAAGGAAGGGAGGGAGGAAGGAAAAGCAAAGGAAGGAAGGAAGGAAGGAAGGAAAAGTGAAGGAAGGAAGGAAAAGGAAGGAAGGAAGGAAGGAAGGAAGGAGAGAGGAAGGAAGGAGAGAGGAAGGGAGGGAAGGAGGGAGGGAGGGAGGGAGGGAGGGAGGAAAAGCAAAGGAAGGAAGGAAGGAAGGAAGGAAGAGGAGGGAAGGAAGGAAGGAAGGAAGGAAGGAAGGAAGGAAGGAAGGAAGGAAGGAAAAGGAGGGAAGGAAGGAAGGAAGGAAGGAAGGAAGGAAGGAAGGAAGGAAGGAAGGGGCCAGAGCAATAGTAAAGGAGGAAGGGCATTTATCTTGCATGTTGCTGTCCTGAGTTCAATCCCCAGCACCCCATATGGTTCCCTGAACACCACCAGGAGTAATTCCTTAGTGCAGAGCCAGGAGTAACCCCTGAGCATCACTGGGTGTGACTCAAAAAGTCAAAAAGAAAGAAAGGAAGGAAGAAAAAGAGGGAGAGAGGGGAAGGAAGGAAGAGAGGGATGGAGGTAATGAAGGAGGGGCAGGGAAGGGCGGAGGGAGGGGCTGAAGGATATAAGATCTAGCTTCTGACTAAGGGAGGATTGTTCCAGGTAAGAATGTGATCTCTACCAGGATTGGAAAACAAAAGAGATTGTGTTCTTACCTGTGCTCTGGCGCTATTTTTAGCTCCTTGCTCCGAGGTCGCTCCACTCGGACACTGTGCTGGGGATTAAATCAGGATTGGTTAAACCATTGCTCCGGCCTTTGCCATTTTTTACGAAGCTGTGCTGGAGAGATAGTACAGCAGTTGAGGTTTTTGCCTTGCACAGGGCCAACCCAGATCTATTCCCTGGCACTCCATATGAGCCCTGCCAGGACTAATTCGGGTGTGACCCCAAAACAGAACAGAAAAACATTAAAAGGACGTGTGACAAAGCTCTAAGGCGATGGCAAGGTATGAAAAAAGGTATCTCTGAGCCTCTTCAGGCACCTCAGTAAGGGGTGACAGGGAGAGGCAGACAGATGCCTCTGTCTCATCTTCTCCGTCCCACAGGTAGGACATGAGGACACTGGCCACTCCCTGTATGACTACAGGGACGTGCTAATGGTTCCAGCTTCACATGGTGTGAACCTGCCGTACTTTTTCCATGCTGGAGAGACAGGTAGGCCATGGGGGCTGAGCAGGGGGAAGAGGGACGTATAGCACTGACAGGTCGACAGGTTGTCTACCGGAGATACTGGCAATAATTGTCCCGTGTACATGATGTCTCCATCCTGAAGAGGCCACTGGACACGCCAGCGGCAAGAAGAGCAGCATCTGTTTCACCATTGAAAACTATGATTTCTAATTCTCACCTCTGTCTGGCTAGAAGGTATTTCTATTCATTCTTCCAGACAAAGACAGTGTAACTGGTCCAAGCATAAAACTCTTGATTGGAGCCTTTTTTGATGGCCAGTGCCCGCTAGGAGAATGCACCTGTTCTCAATCACACACCTGAAGTAGCACATGGACTAAGGAGGCGGTGGAGGCTCTGTCCACTCACGCCAGTGCTGAAGAGGAGCCTGCTGCTATTGGCTCTGAAAAGCCATCACCCGCCACGTCATTATTCCCAAAGCTCAAGCCAGGGGCTCATTGGGTAACTCAGCACCCCACCCACCCCCATGTTCAGGTTCTTAAATTGTCTAAGCTCTAAGCAACCTAAGCACCAATTTCAGATCAAATGAAGATTTGGGGGACACCTGGCACCCCTCAAGACTCAGCGGGTAGGAAGCCTTACTCTCACAACAAGCCGTGAACCTGGGCTGATCCCGCTGATTCCCAGAGGAAGCATCGTGTGCATTCATCTCTTTTTCCTGACATTTCCAGTCAATTTAGATCCAATTTAGATCAAAATTGTTTGAGGAGATTTAAAGAATTGCTTGCGGGGTATAGGTCGGGGACGATAACCCTGAAGAGCTTGTGGTCTTGTTGGGAAAATCCTGTGAACCCATGTGAAATCATTGCAGCTGCCTGAAACTCTAACATAGCATCTCACTAACTTTAAGTTGTGTGACCCTAGGAGAAGATTTCACCAGGATTTGGATAGTTAATAGCTATGAGGAAGACCCTGATTGCAAAAAATAAGATAGCTTTTGGGGGAGGGGATACCAGATGGATAGCTGTAAAAGTCTTTCTGAATGGATGTCCCTAAAGTAAGTTAACAATGTGTCCTATTATTTCTAGCTGAAAAGCAGATTTTTCCCATTTTATATGGAAATGGACAGTCTCTCACCCTGTTCGTTCCATTCTAGGCCATGGAACGAACAGGGTGAGAGACTGTCCATTTCCATATAAAATGGGAAAAAATATTCTGTTGAGACGGAAGCGGTCATTGAAGCCCTAGCCAATCAGGGCATTCAAGCCCAATACATCAGGATCCTCCGTGAGCTCTATTGCGGATTCACTACCAGGATCTCACCATTCTACAAAGAAGTGATCGTTGATGTCAAGAGAGGGGTGCGGCAGGGTGATACCATTTCACCAAAACTCTTCAGTGCCACCCTCGAGAACATCATGCGACGACTGGAATGGGAAGGAATGGGAGTGAAGATAGATGGTCGGCAACTACACCACCTCCGCTTTGCTGATGACATTGTTTTAATAACACCAAACATCAGCCAAGCGGCACAAATGCTGGCCGACTTTGACCGTGAGTGTGGAAAGGTAGGACTACAGCTGAATCTTACGAAGACAATGTTTATGAGAAACAGCCTTGTTCCTGACGCCCCATTCGCTCTCAATGGAACGACCATCTCCGAATGCAACAGCTATGTGTACCTAGGTCGAGAGGTCAACATGACAAATGACCTGGCACCCGAGCTGCGCAGGAGGAAGAGAGCGGCTTGGAACGCCTTCAAGAACGTCGAAGAAATAGCTAAGAGGACGAAGAACCTCTGGCTCCGGGCACATCTCTTTGATTCCACTGTTCTTCCTGCATTAACATATGCCTCAGAGACCTGGGCCCTACGCAAACAAGATGAGAACGCTATTCAGGTCTCCCAAAGAAGAATAGAAAGAGCTATGCTTGGAATAACACGTTTCACTCAAATGAGAGAACGAATCCGGAGTTCTGACATCCGTCGACGATCAAGGATCAGGGATGCTGTCTCATTTGCCAAGGTGTCGAAAATCAGATGGGCTGGTCACGTAATGAGATTTAAAGACGACCGTTGGACTAGAGCTGTTACTGATTGGATTCCACGGGATGTCAAGAGACCGCGTGGCCGCCCACCTACCAGATGGTCAGACTTCTTCGTCAAGATCATGAACGATCGGTTTGAGGCCCTTCATGTTCCCGGAGTGAACAGATGCCATTGGGCTACACTAGCACGCGACAGGGACAAATGGAGACGTTACTGGCACCCGCTCGAGCAAATCGACGACTAACGGGAAGTTAAGTGATCACTTAAGTGATTAAGTGATATGGAAATAGTTTTGGTTGCTAGGAATGGAGTGCACACTTTCCACACTTACCTGCAGTACTTGTGCTACTCCTGGCTCAGTGCTTAGGACTCGCTCCTGGTGGTGCTTGGGGAACCGCAGGGTGCCAGGAATCTAACCTGGCCTGCATCAAAGCATGCACTCCAGTCGATCTTACAATGAAAGAATCTCACGGCAAGCTGTCCTGGGCCAGGGATGTCAGGGATGTGGTTCAGCAGTGGGGTACTTACCTTGCTGTGCCAGGTCCTGGGTTCCCTCTCTAGCACGATAGCATGCGAGGGGTGCTCCTCACCAAGTCATGGACTTCACCCTACTGGTCATTCAAAAGTGAAGTCGTGTTCGGATGTGACCGCATCTAATGAAGCAAAATAAATAAATAAATAAAACACTTCCTCCAGGACTGCTCCTTCTATTAGGAAGAAGGAGCAGAGCCATTCGCCCACAGGGTCCTCCCAGATCAACGAGATCTGCCCCAAGCACAAGGGAGACTTTGTTCAGGGCCTGCATCTGGCAGTGCTCAAGGGTTTCTCCTCGCTTGGTGCTCTGGAGTTTCTCCCAGTGGTGCTTGGGGGAACAAGAGGTGCTGGCGATCAATTGTGGGCCTCCTGCATGCAGAGTTCAGTCTGTTGAGCCATCTCCCTGGCCTCAAAGCTGTCACTCCAACCCCCCACTGAGACCCTGCTTTCAAGGAGGTGCAGTATGTGAAGTAACAGTTACAGTATTTGTACTGCTTTGCTCATGAGATTATTGCAATGGGCAGTGTTCCAAGAGCACCGTTACCAATACAGGCTAAGGGCTGGAAAGAGAGCTTCATGGGCAGAGCATTCAGGAGGTCCAGGTTTGACCCTCTGTCTGCATGATCTCCTGAGCATCATCAGGAACAACCCTTGAGCACCAGGTCAGTAGTCCCTGAGTACTGGTGGGTGTAGCCCCCAAACGATCACAATCACGACGATCACGACCATCCTGTTGTTCATCGATTGCCTCGAGCAGGTCCCAGTAACGTCTCCTTCACCCTAGCCCTGAGATTTTTTTTTAAAAGTGCCATATTTATTCAAGGCTCTTTCAGGGTTAGGAGAATGAGACCCATCATTATGTATCTTTATGTATATATATTTGTTACTGTTCATTTTTCTTCCTCTATCTGCTTGGGGGTCTGGAGCCTATATCTGACCAGGGTCTGTGGATCAGATCCATCATGGTGAGGACTGTTCCTTTCCCCAGACTGGCAGGGTACTTCCATAGACAAAAACCTTCTGGATGCACTACTACTGAACTCTACCAGGATTGGCCATGGATTTGCTTTGAGCAAACACCTAGCAGTCTTGACTGAGTCCCGGAAGAAAGATATCCCCATAGAAGTCTGTCCCATCTCTAATCAGGTATGTGTCGTCATAGGATTACCTCATTACCCTTACTGTCGTCTCAGACCCCAACCTCCACCTCTGCTCCAATTCCCAGATTTGCTCCTATATGATTTTTCTCCTTACCTCACCTATTTTCTCTGTTTCATCACTCTCATTCCCATTAGTAAAGTCATTTACAAATATCCCTTTGCCTAAAGCATAATAATTAGGCAGTCGTACAGATTCCCCTGATAAATGTGCAAAGTTGTGGACCAAACTAAAGACAAGGGCACTGGGGACTTGCTGTGGTAAGAAGGGCCCAGGAACCTGCTTAACCCGGTGGCCTGGATTGATCCATCCCTGTCTATCTTTGCTGCCTTCCCAGGCAGTGTTGAAACTTAAAGACAGTTAGAAGAATCTCTAAGGACTTGCCCTAGTCCTTGTGTCAGGACTTCCTAGAAGCCACCTTGGTACTCAGAACAGTACCAAGGGCTAAGAAGGGAGGTGGTGGTACTCATAGTAACACCTCCCCAACAACACTTTTTTTTTTCTGGCTCAAAGTCTCTCTCCCGTCTCCTATTGGACAGGTCTTGAAACTGGTGTCAGACTTAAGAAACCACCCTGCAGCATTCCTGATGGCCTCCGGGTACCCCATAGTGATCAGCTCTGATGACCCAGCTCTCTTTGGTTCTAAAGGCTTGTCCTATGACTTCTATGAGGCCTTCATGGGCATTGGGGGGATGGAAGCTGACCTGAGGACCCTCAAACAGCTGGCCATGAACTCTATCAAGTGAGTATCCCGTGAGCATCCTGGATCCCTTTTCCCTTCTACCCACACTTGCATTCCATCTCCGCGAGACTGAGGGTCTGATGGGTTTCCCTGCATCGTCTGTTTCGTGATTGCTCTCATGGGTGACGGGTAACCCTTCCTGCCTCTGAGACCACTCTTCCTCTCCTATTCTCACCTCTTCCCAGGGCTGACCTGACTCCTCCTTTGCAGGTACAGCGCCCTGATGCCGAGTGAAAAGATGGCTGCCATGAAAACCTGGGAGCGCAGATGGAATGAGTTTGTAGCTGACCTGGCAAAGCGACCAAAGTAAAGAGAGCCAGTTATTACCCATTTCACTCCCATCTTCACTTCTGCTCAGTCTTGAATCCACCAGTGTGTATTCTGCCCCCATTTCCTTACCAGCACTGACCTCATATAGACCAGGCTTCTGCACTCTTCCACCTCTCAGAAATGTGTGACCAGCTGACCAAACTCAGAGTTTTAGACCCTTCTTATCTCTCAATCTCTCTGTTGTAATTCTTATTCTTTCTCTTGATCATTGTCTTTTCCAGATTTTCCTTCTCTGTGCTCTTTATGATGGATTTTTTCAGCTGATGGTGCTCACACTTGCACCTCCCCAACAATATTTGGGGGAGGGGGTACACTCAGAAACGCTCAGGGTTTACTCCTCGTTCTACACTCAGGAATTACTCCTGGTGGTGTTCAGAGGACTGTCTGGGAAGCCATGTTGGCTGTGTGCAAGGCAAAACCCTACCCACTGTACTATCTCTTCAGCCCCACATTTTTTTTCTATATTTTTCTGATGGTTTCATTAATGCAATGTATTTATGCTCTAGGGTTGTCATGTTGTTGCATCATTCCTTCCACTGAAGTGTCAATGTTCCTTAACTAATGTCCCTAGGCCCCTTCTTTGCCTCCACCCACCTCCTCCCTATCGGTAAACTCCGTTCCATTGACAGTCTAAGACTTTGCTTTCTGTTTTCATGATGGGATCATACTCTGTGGCACTTGGGGGGCTACCCCCTGCTGGGTCAATTTCAGTAATGCTGGGGTACCCTGCAGTGTTGGGGATCTAACTGGGCCTCCCAAAGGCAAAGCTTGCGCTCTGCCCTAAAGGTTCCTTCTCATTGACTATTGCTATCTCGTTGCTGTGTTTCTTTAAGCTCCAGCGGTGAGTGAGATCATTTGATATTGTCTTTCTCCTCCAACTTATCTCTTCTCTTCTCCTCCAGTATTTTCCTCCTCTCTTCGCACCAGTACTCTTGCACCGTATAATGTCATCAGTTCCTTTCCTTGCTTGCTTTTTGGTCACACAGGCTCTATGCTCAGTGGTCCCTCATCGGTCTGTACCCAGGGACTGTTCCTTTGCTTTTGATTACTTTTAATGAGTCCCAAATTTGTTCACTGGGGTGGCTCGTGAGACTCCCAGAAATCAGGCTGGAGAGATAGTACAGTGGGTGAGGTGCTTGCCTTGAGTGTGGTGAACCCCGGTTTGATCCCCAGCACTCCACATGGTCCCTGTGCTCACCAGGAGTCATCCCTGAGCACAGAGTCAGGAATAAGCCCTGAGTACAACTGGGTGTGATCCCAAACCAAGGAAACCCTCTACCTTACTCCCCTCCTCCAGAATCACAGAAACCCACAACGTTCAATTCTACACTCTTGTATCCTCCCAAACTCTGACCTTTCCCATCTTGGCAAATGGCACCATCTGCCTCTGTGTTCCCAGGAACCATTTGGTGCAGAGATCAAAACAGGGCCTCCTGCATGCTAAGTAGGAGGTTCAAATCTGAGGTTTAAAACTGAGACGTGTTGGGGCTGGAGCAAGAGCACAGCGGGTAGGGTGTTTGCCTTGCATACAGCTGACCCGGGTTCGATTACCAGCATCCCATATGGTCCCCTGAGCACTGCCAGGGGGGTGATTCCTGAGTGCAGAACCAGGAGTAACTCCTGTGCATCTCCAAGTGTGACCCAAAAAGCAAAAAAAAAAAAAAAAAAAAAAAAAACTGAGATGTGGAGCCGGAGCAATAATATAGCAGGTAGGGCATTTGCCTTGAATGTGGCTACCAGGATTCAATCCTTGACATTCCATATGGTCCCCCAAGCACTACCAGGAGCAATTCCTGAGTGGAGAGCCAGGAGGACAGGAGGACTTCCTGAGCATTGCCAGGTGTGACCCAGAAAGTCAAAATAAATAAATAGATACATTTTTTAATTAACAAAAAAACAGACACCCTGAATGTGTTTGACTTGCAAGTGACAGGCCCCAGTTCTATCCCTAGTAACCCAGATGGTCTCTGAACACCACCAGGATTTATACCTGAGCACAGATCCAGGAGTAAGCCCTGACCACTGCCAGGTGTGGCTGCAAAAACAAAATCAAAAATAAATGAAATAACTGATACCACATGGTCCCTTCGAAGCAGTGTCGGGTGTGATTAAAGAATAAAGAGGATCTGTAGCAAAGTTTCCCGCTAACAGGGCACCTCTTTGTAATGCAGATGTATATAGTATTTATTTATTTGAATGAGGTTAAAGGTTTTCCTTCCTTATCAGATGAATTGTCTGCGCAGAGAAATCCTGAAGACCTGGAACGTCTAGTGAAGACACCACCTTTGCACTGGACGCCCAGTGGCCTCCTCTCCCTGAGTTCCGAAGGCTTTGCTCAAGGTGCACAGCTTCCTGGGCAGGGCAGGGAGACTTCTGGAAATCCAGAGTGGCTGGTGGTGCAAATCATCCTTTTTCCCAGGGACAACCAGACAATAGTGACGTTGTGGTTTTGAAACCATTAAAAGATCTCAGAAAAGCTGTTGCCCTTGTCCATATTTGCAACACTCACATTATGGTGCAGACTTTGGCCATGCTGTAAGGTGAGCTCTGCCAGGATTTGCACTCTCAAGTTTTCCTTTTGTGATTAATAAATATCTTGTGGGGGAAACACTTTATGCAGACATCCTACTTCTCAGCAAACCTTTAGTTTTCTGTTTGGATTGGCTTATTTGTTTTTCAGCAATACTCACAATGTTCAGGAGCCACTTGGGGCCTGATGTTTGGGTGTGGTACCCTGGGGGGAAAGAGGGGTGTATGGGGGAAGCTGTTCCTAGCAACGCTGGTTTTCCAACCTGACCCTCCTGTATGCAGAACACATGCTCCTACCCTTAGACCATCTCTCTGGTTCCAAATCCTTTGTCTCTGCATCCATTGAGGATTGAGGGTTGTTATCTGAATCTACTATGACTACAATGATTGCTTCTCTAGTTATCTTTTCAGGGGCAAATTAAAAAAATTTTTTTAAATTTAATTTTTATAAAGTAGTTCACAATATTTGATTATATTTAGCATTCAAACACCAATCCCACCACCATTACACCTTCCCACCACCATATTTTGGATGTTTCCACCCAGAATCCCAACCCCTCCCCCAAAGCAGACAAAAACAAAAAAACAAACACTGTCCTCCCGCTGTTCATCAATTTGCTCGAGCGGGCCCAGTAACGTCTCCATTCTTTGAGACTTGTTACTGTGTTTGGCATATTGAATACGTCACGGTTAGCTTGCCAGGCTTTGCTGTGTGGGAGAGATACTCTCCATAGCTTGCCGGGCTCTCCGAGAGGGGCGGAGGAATTGAACCCGGCTCCGCCGTGCTGGCTGCGTGCAAGGCAAACACTCTTCCACTGTGTTATCACTCCAGCCCCCCCAAAGCAGAACCAAAATAATTTATTTTGTATTGTTTGTTATGGATAAACTGCTGAGAATGCTCCAAAAGACTTTCCTTAGGGGAGAGTATGTGAAGATTATGGTATTTCACCCAAAGGCCATTAAGCCCTTCTATAAGAGATTATTGTAGCACTGTCCTCCCGTTGTTCATCGATTTGCTTGAGCGGGCCCAGTAACGTCTCCATCGTGAGACTTGTTATTGTGTTTGGCATATGGAATATGTCACGAGTAGCTTGCCAGGCTTTGCCGTGTGGCCGAGATTCTCTCGGTAGCTTTCCAGGCTCACCAAGAGGGGTGGAGAAATCGAACCCGGCTCAGCCAGGCCGGCTGCTACCGCTGTGCTATTGCTCCAGCCTAACATGTTATTAAATTAAACCCCATCTAATGTGGTGCATTACTCTTGGAATATGAGTGGTGTGAGGTATGAGATAGATATTGTGCAGCCACAAAGCAGCGGTGTGGTCCAGGATTTCGGCTGCCAGGACTGGGATGATCCCTTGGGGCGGGGAGGGACCTCACCAAGCCCTCCTCCGGGGCATGGGGCAAAAAAAAATTATCCTAAAACATCTTAGCTTAAAACAGTGAAAGCCCACTAATTCTCAGTTTCTGCGTCAGGAGTATGTGAAGGGCTCTCTTTGAGGCTGCAGCAGCCAGAAACTCAGTGCCTTCCTGTATAGGCTCAGGGTCAGCGTTGGGGTCCCCACACAGGTGAGGTGAGTGTGGGCTTCCTCAAGCGGCGGCTGAAAGTTTCAAAAAAAGATGTTCCCCAAAACAAGTAGAAATGCTATCGCCTTTTCTGAATAACCTGAAAATAATCACATGAAGAATATCCTTCCTCCATACACTACTGATCGCAAATGTGATCTTAAACCCTCCTAGTTTCAAGAGGAGGCATAGAAAGACCTTCCTTGTGGGGAGGCCACTCCCCTCAGGGGGCCTGGGAGCCATGCTCAGTGACACCATGCAGTGCCAAATTTTGAACCCTGGTCTCCCTCATGCAATGCATATGCCTCAGGTATTTCCCTGAGCCCAAGTCACGATATAGGATACAGCGTTGTAAATTTTGAGAAAATACAGTCATCAGATGGTGATTTTCTAGTTCTAACATTTCTTTTATATGTATCGGTTGTCATTCCAATTCCACTGAAATTATGAACTTCCTATTTGTTCACACCTGGGTTTTGTTTCTTTGGGGGAGGCCGCATCCTGCAGTGCTCAGGCCCTACTCCTGATTCTGTGCTCAGGGATCATTCCTGAATAGTTTTGGGAACCTACATGGAGTACCAGGAATTGAACCCCGGTTGGCCAGGCAGGGCAAGGACCCTTCCAGGTCACCCTGTAGGCGGCCTCAGGGTTTCCGCATCTTGGACAAGCCCTTACAGCACAGCTGTTGGCTCTGCCTGCTGAAAGCTGCAGTCTCGGCCAGCCTGACCCGGCGGCTGTTTCCTCCTGAACCGGCCGGTGAGGCTTCGGACTAAGGTCCCAGTCCCGGAAACGCCTCCGTTTCCTGTCCCCTAGCCTGCCCCCGCTCCTAGGGTGGGTTCCTGGAGGGAGAGCCTCGGCCCTGGAGCCTTCCTTCCCTTTGTTCCCAGAATATCCAACCCACCCCCGGCTCCCTCGACCCTCCCCCCCCCCCCCCCACCGTAGAAGCTGCCGTTCAGTGGGAGATGGCCCGGGACAGAGGAGGCACGTGGGAAGCAAACGGAAGATACCGCGGGCGGTGGGCTGGGGACACTCCGCGAGGCAGGTCTGGGTCACCTGTGGATGCCGGCGGGAGGTGGGCTGCTGCTGACCCCAGGTGGCCATGCGCGGCACCGCGCGCCTCGCCGGTCTCTGCTTTCCTAGTCCTCTGCTGTCACCTCCTGTCACTGCTCAGAGTAGCACATGAAAACAGTTTTGTGTTGGAAAGATTCCGGTGGTAATAAATTTGGAAACACCAAGAGCAAAGATGATGTGATTCTGGGAAGATTCTTATTTTTATTTTTTGCTTTTTGGGTCACACACGGCGATGCACAGGGGTCACTCCTGGCTCTGCACTCAGGAATTATCCCTGGCGGTGCTCAGGGGACCATATGGGATGCTGGGAATCGAACCTGGGTCGGCCAGGTGTGAGGCAAATGCCCTACCTGCTGTACTATCACTCCAGCCCCTCTGGGAAGATTCTTGAGTCCCCAGTCTGCACGGGTCGTTCTCCCCCTTCTTGGGATGAAGGGCAGGGTCCAGGCTGACTGGAGACGCCGAATAGACAACAATTCATCTGCAGAAGTTTGTGGCGTTTGTCTCAGTCGTTCTACGTGGGTCATAGAAATTGAAAACAGAAAATATGAAAGTTCCCATTCAGCCCTTTTCAAACGCACCGGCTTTGTCATGAGAGCAACGGCCCTGGGTCTGGCTAGTGAGTGCCTGGAAGGGAAGCCTGGTCAGCCCTAAGCTTTGAGAGAGATACTGTGTTGTTTTGGGTGGGACTTAGCTTCAACGAGATATTTATATAGAGGTTATATGTTCACATTGAAAACAACTTATTCGAGCAAATCGTGAAAAAAGAAGATAAAGAGAACAACAACAAAAGCTCCCCAAACTCCCTCTCCCTCACTGTTAATAACTTGGTCCATTTTCTTCCCACAGTAATTAGTCCTGAGGGTCTCATCTGCTTCTGCTGTCCCACCTGCCACTGACCACACACATGCTTGCTCCTGGGCACAAGTCCACCCCCATGTGGAAAGACCTCCTTGCCTCTTTTTGGGAGGAGGACACACCTGGCGATACACAGGGATTATGGCTGGCAGGGTTTGAGGATTCATATGGGATGCCAGGGATCCAATCCAGGTCAGCCACATGCAAGGCAAGTGCCCTAATCACTGCATTCTCTCTCCAACCCCAAGAAAGGTCTCCTGTGACCTGTGCATTCCAGTACCTTGGACAAATTTAGATCACAAAGTACAATAGTAGCATAGTACAATTTTAAAAATTGGGGAGGCAAGGGGCTGGAGCAATAGCACAGCGGGTAGGGTGTTTGCCTTGCATGCAGCCGACCCGGGTTCGATTCCCAGCATCCCATATGGTCCCCTGAGCACCGCCAGGAGTAATTCTTGAGTGCAGAGCCAGGAATAACCCCTGTGCATTTCCGGGTGTGACCCAGAAAGCAAAAAAAAAAAAATTGGGGAGGCCCACCTGCCCCAACAGAGCCCCAGCAGCTGAAAATCTCCAGAACCTAATCACCACCATACTCATGGCCAATCTCTATGGGCTCGGGACGAGCCTCATCAATGAGAATGAATCTTCTGAAGAGCTCAGGTGTGTGGCTTTTGTGACTGAAATATCCAGGCTCTCATGAAGTTGGGAATGGGCAACCTCCCCCCATCTCCCTGTTCTTCCGGAAGCCTGCCACTAACTGCCTCTGGTGCCATAAAAGTTCAGTAACAGCCATGATTCAGAGACTCACAAATAAATCTCAGAAGAGAGTCACAAGCTGCAGAGACACCTTCAGATCCCAAAGTCACCTCGAGTTATATCGTTATTTAAAATACTAGAATTCCTGGAGCATGTGGCTGTGCAATATCTCATATTCTGCTCCACTGATGTACCAAAAGTGGCACACCACATTTGATGGGGTGTAAGGCAGAAGGCAACTTCTCTTGATAAAAATTAGCACATGAGGCTCAACCTGTAACAACATGTTAGTAATCTCTTATATAAGGACTCAATAGCTCCAGGGTGAGATACAACAATCTTCACACACTTTCCTCGAAGGAAACTTTTTGGATCCTTTTTAGTGGATTATTCATAATAAGCAATACAAATAAATTATTTAGGACCTGCTTTTGAGGCAGGCTTTTGTGGTGGTGGGAAAATTTGAAATAATGGTGGTGGGAAGCTGTAATGGGGGTAGAATTGGTGTTGGAATATTAAATCCATTAAATTCGTCTTTTTTAAATTTTATTTTATTTTTATAAAGTTGTTCACAATAATTCATTACAGTTAATAGTCAAACACCAATCCCACCACCATGCACCTTCCCACCACCGTAAGAGGAAAGTGTGTGAAGATTGTTGTATTTCATCCTGGAGCCATT